ATTTTTTTTACCATTTTTTTTTTCTAGCAGTTGTAGCGCATACTCTCACGTAAATGACAGAGGCGTTTCTATGGTTTAAATAATAGTCATATTTTCATGAATCTAGTGTGCAGTAATTATCATTTTGGGTTCATGTGTACTTCTGTGATATAATATTTACCATTTAATAATAGAGAAGTAATTTGAGGGTTAAAATAGAATGGAAATTGTTCTCCAATTCCATATATGTGTTAAGTGGACTTTCGAAAACACATCCGCAGATCATTCACCATGGCAACTATCCTCAAGCTGAAATCACCCCTCTGTTCATTGAGCTTTTATAATTAAATATATCATTAACTAAATTAACTTTTCATTCAATGAAATTTCTTTTATTTTTGCAGAGAAAACTGGCATCCACAGTACAGATTGGCAACATCAAATTGTCTTAATATAGTTAAGTTATTAACAGTGAAAGAAAGAATTGAAGGTACGCACATGCACTGTTTTGAACTTGTGTGGTCTGTGTATGCATGGTGGGAAGTGTCTCTTGCATACTTACTATCTATCTGTATGTTTGCTAACATTGACAGTGGTCTCAGCAAGTGTTCTTGCATTTTCATAGAGCGTTTATTCGTCAATTTGAATAGAGCAATAACCTACGGTATTTCTCATTTCATTTTTAATTTGACAAGCATCTACTGCATCCCATGATGCCATTGGTCAACAGTAAGTTTGATTGACGCACACGATGAACTCACTCGGAGTAGGCAATCTTCATCGTATATCACAAGATATGGGTATTTAAGTCGCATACGCTTTATAAGTCCTTGGTAAATACACATTATTTCAAAAGAAAGATCTAGTAGTACTATGTACTATATATTCATGATTTGTTGATTCAGTGTGCAACAATTTGGAGCGTGTGTTTTTTGTAGAACTTTTTTATATAGGTATATCGGTTAACTACAAATTTATGTCAGAACTCAAGATGGTTAATCGTAGAACTGCCTGGCAACTGACCTGATATATCAACTACTGATAGAGGGCACTATAACAATAATGATCTTAACATAAGGAAAAAGATCTGTCTTATTTTAGTGGTTGACATACGAACATCATTACATATGTATGTATGTCGTCTTTTGTTGAAGTTACCCGTATTTTTTTTTTCATTGTATAGATGCCATGGATTTACTGCAAGAATTAAAAAACAGAAGTACGCAGAGTTCAAACGATATTGATTTCTTTGAACTTTTAGCTGGGCTGTCACGAGACGGCTTTATAGAAGAAGCCAAACCTTGCTTAACAAGTCTATAGAAATCAGACTCTTGAAACCTTCGACCTATGTTCTTGGTTCTCTACTCGATGGTTACTTTGAAAAGTAAGTCAGATGGTTTTCAAAATGTCCTCACCCCTTCCGGGACATGACATCTGTAATGTTTGGGATCCTTAATTAGCATTACTGCGCCCTCTATGGCCAATATTAGACATGAGCGAATGATGTCAAGTTTTGTTCATATAATGGCGGCTACACAATAAAGTTCTGTTCGCATCTTCTTTGGTGTTTCATAGCGTGAGTACACAGCACCATCCTCCTAATCTTCTGATTTAATCTACTTTTGAATCCTGGGGAACAAAACGAAATGTTTGTGATGCAGAAACAGTGACTACAAAACGTGCAATGTTATGCTTTGTATACAATGAGAATTATCATCTTTAGATTTTATCGTTTTCTCTGTCAGATCAGACATATTAGCTTACAGATGCCTAACACTATTATCAAATGTTGAATCAGTTTATTTTTTTTTTCACTAGGGGAGATTTGAAAGGAGCCATGGATTACATTGAGGATTGCTATGCCAGGTTTGAGATGGCTCCGAGATTTTACGATCTGTTGGTCAAATTAATTGAAGCTGGAAACACAGAACAGTTACAAACAGGTAATTCATTGTTGATTATTGTGAACTAATAATGTATTCATAATGACACAGAAAAACAAAAAGCACAAAAATGTGACTGATGTGTTAAGGTGACATAAGTACATGTAGAAGTGCCAATTCATGGTGATGGGCCACCACAATTTGGGGATGAAGTGTTCACCACCGTGAGCAAAATCTCAAGGCAATCGTTACAGGTCATTTAAGTATGTTTTTAATCAGTCATCGAATAAATCTTAATAAATTTCTCATGGCAATTATTTATGTCTCCATTGATTAGACTATTTGAATGAAGTCTAAAAACAACAACTACTTACATGTGTAGACTGTATTTAAATGACTGTATTTACTTTATTAGTATGGAGGGGGGGGGGGGTAGCGCATATATGCAAATGAATACATCATAATAAGTCATTTTAATGATCCAGTATACAATGCAATTTTTGGTTTAAATGACGTTTTTGCTTTTAAAAGACTAAATTACATGGTAGCTATGTATGAAAAATCATGACGCAAATGCATTCACAGTGCTTGAACATCACGAGTCTATTGAATGCAAGGAATATTTTGGAGCAAAGTACATGTAGGTAATAAGTTGTTCTAATCATAATCTTTGTGTTTTTCACTGTAAAGTTAGAGCCTTATCTGTCATAAGCCTGACAATCTTAGAGTGAATGTAAGTCGATGTAATATCTTGATTTCATTCATATTTTTAACAGCCATGGAGTGTGGTGTACAAATGTTGGGTAATAGGAATTCTCTTTATACACTAATATTTGCTTTCCTGACAACTGGTAAATACAACCAAGCAAAGAGTATTATTGAGGTATGTTTTAATTTCTTTAAGGAGGTCTGGGATGGAGGGGGGAGGGGGCTGATTTGCTATATTACATCATTGCTGTTCATTATCAGATGATAGAATACTATTCCAACTCTACTACCCTGAATCTGAACATTTTGAAATGAACAGAGTTACAGCATAAAATTGAAGCACACTGAATCATTTAAGCAATCTCAAACAAAGCACATGTGTTCACGATCAACTTGAGTGTAGAATGATACATGTATACATATGAATGTTCAAGGGACACTGCTCTTGGCCGGGTTCTGGTAAGGGCACTAGGTCTAGTTTTACAAATGAAGCCCCCCTAGCTCAGTGTCTATTGTTCACAAATCTAGTTTTGTCTTAGGAGGCCCAGTTAATGTCTAATTTTCTCATGCACAATTTCAAGATTTGATGATTGTTCAGGCACAGTTGAGGGACTGTGCGTCGAGGGATTATACCTCACATATAGCAAAGTATGATGTAACTTATTCAATAACACAACAACAAGATATCTTTTCAATTATTTACATATTTATTGAATAATGCTTTGGATCCACATTATAAAACAGACGTGAAGTAATTAAACCACAAAATAAAAACCTAACACAATAACAATAAAGGATTCCTCCCACAGTGCCATATTAAATTTGGAGCAGATTCTAAGCTTAATTGTGTGCTGTCATTGTTATAGTAGGGATTCACTGATTGGCTAATAGGGTTAAAGCATTACTGTAAAATAATTAATTTTCGCTGGAAGGACTTTTTGGGTGTTTTGTATGAAATTTATTTTCACTAATTTCTTACAAGTTGAATGTAAAATATAGGAGAAAAGATATATTTGCTGGATTTTATTTTTTATGCGAAAATAACGTAAATTAATTCCAAGCGAAAATAAAGTATTTCACAGTAGATGTTTACATAGTATTTCGACTTGCCAGAATCCTGAATCCTGGCGACTCGCATCAAACTGATGTCTATCTTATTAATAGTTGATATTAGGCTTTAAATATCACTTGTCACAAGCCCCTAAAACATGCTTCATGGATCATGTCCTCCATCATGTTGACGTTTGTTGTGATTTCTAGACTTCGGAACTGGTAGCTGTGCAGGCACGATTGCAATGGTACGCAAGACTTTGTATCCGAATGGGATTGGAAGAACCGCTAGAGAAGTTAATTGAACTATCACGAAACATGTTACAATGTAACAGAGATCAGATGTATCATCATTTACTTACACTATATGGTGAGTTGCCGACGTGTGGCATGGGACTCGCTATGATACATGTATTGTATAACAAGTCCCTAAAATTAGAAATGTTGAAAAGTTTTTTCTTCAATATTTAAGATTGAGTAGTATACATCATTTTCAAATGTCCCAAAAATGAACAGCTTGGTCCACTATTCCAAAAATCTAAGACTTGTATCATATTTAACATTTTCACCACTTTCTCGCCCAAATTTTTTTGCATTTTTTCTAATATTCCTGGAAATGAACCCTGATTTTGGAGCAAACATTTTCAGTTTTTACTCAAAAAATTTGGCTATTTTTGTCCCAATCTTCTGACAGAGAGTGCAGACTATAAACAGGACTATTTTGTGAATATATTATATATATATATATTGGTGTTGCTCCTTCACTGTTATTATTTTTGATTTCAAAAATTTAACTGGTTGTACATCAAATAAATTTGATATCTGTGTCTTGCCAATTCTTGCAGCAAAGACTAAAGATTGGCAGAAATGTATGAAAGCCTGGAGTAGTATACAAGAAGAGGGTTTTAAACCGACACCAAGGACACTCAGATTACTGGCACATGTACTGAAAACAAATGGGCAACCAATACCACTTGAAGTCAGCAGTATCCTGGAGGTAAGTTTGTCTGTTGTCATCACTGTAAACTTTTTCGACTTCTTGAAAACTACAATTGCTTTGATATTTAGTGTACCTTGGGCATGATATCTTCAATACTCTAATTTTAACAGGTAACTCAGATTTTTTCATTTTCTAACGATATCTTCAGACGTTAATGAAGGAGCATTCCGATGTTTTAAACAAAATGTTTTCTCCTATTTTTCACAGAATGATAATGCAGGTGAAAGATGATAAAGTGTTATTGGTGAATAATGTAAATACTAACCAGAATAAAGATTTTGCGGTTCATTCTTCTAAATGAATGGAATATAGAATTATACGAGTTGATCATCAGACGGTGATAAGATTTACAAGATTCAATTATAACATGTTTTTGGCTGAAGCAAGATCTTATATTTTACACCAAAAGAGCTGCCTTTCCATGAATGAAGTTGGTTCAATTGAACGGGAACACCCTGGATGCATTGTTATATTAGAGAACACAAACTTGACTCTCGTTATTTATTGCAC